CTTATTTTAGACACAGAGTGCATCTGACAAAGCCAACTTTACTCAGACATTTGAATGGGGTGGCTTGGAGGCACCCAATATCCCCCAGGAAATTAGTACTGCCTTTACAGCTGTCTCAAGCATTGCAGTCAGCCAAGGTTTTAGCCCCTCTATCGGTTACAGTATCAGTACAGGTGCTCAGAAAGATTTCTTCCCCTACCAATCAGTCCTTTTCCATTTGCCAGGCCTGGCTTCCCTGGGTTTCTAATGGAGCTGAAATTAACATGCCTGGTTGTACTCCCCACGGCCCCCGTTTGCATCATCAGAACAGTCCGAAGTGTGTGGCTTAAACCCACATCCACACTCACAAAGCAGGAGGGTCCACATCTCGGCTCTGGGAACACAGCTGTGTCACCCCAAGGTTCTTGGCGCTGTCCATAGAATCTCTGACTTTTTAACCACAATTTCCCAGCAGCAGAGGGGGAGAGGCAAAACAGCAGCAATGAACGGATATTTTGAAACTGGAGGCCATTTCCTGCCAGATGAATGTCCTACGGAAGGTCAAATTTCAAGCTTTATTGCTCTACCCTGTAAGGTCCTGAGCACCCTAAACTCCCATTGGTACCAGCGGTGCCGACAGTGCTTAGCACCTCACAGGCCTGTGGCTATGTCTACACTACAAGCTAGGGGGCTGATTCCCAGCTCATCAGATATGCTCACCTTGAGCTAGCGTGTTAAGAAGAGTAGTGTAGCCACTGTAGCACGGGCTAATGGTGCCTGAAGCCCATGAATACGTACTCAGCGTGGCTAGCTGTGCCACCGCTCCCCATGCTACCACAACTGTACTACTGTTTTTAGCACACTAGCTCGAGGTCTAGCATGTCTATGTGAGATGGGAATCATGCCGCCTGCGCCTAGTGTAGACATCGCCGTCAGTCCCAACTGTGACAGTCATCCTGCTACTTGGCTTTTCCGACTCCAAGGAGCTTTCACGCAGTAGAATGGAATTAACCATAGCCACATCCTAGACTTATGGAGTGGTAGGTACAGGAATTCTTTCTCCAGCAGGCACAGCAGAAAATAAACAGCCCGGGGGTGGCGAGGCAAAGGGGTCTCCATGCCACCCTTGTGTCTTCCTGATTCTGGGCTGCTGATGAGACGCCCGGCATAAACTGGAGAGCCTCATGCTGCTCTCATTTGCAGCAGCCTTCCAAGAGTTGCTCCATAACTTGGAGAAGCACAGAATCTCCTTAGCATGCCACACTATGGAGACTCCCCTGGCATCCCCCTCCCCCAACCCGGGGCTTGAGGGAGGATTGGAGAGGCAGTGTGGGGATGACTCTGCACCAAGGATAATCTCCCCGGGCCAGCTGTGCCTCTGGAATGAGGCACAGAGGCTGTGGTGGAGAGGAGAACCTCTCCCCATCTCTCTGGGGAAATACCACTGGGCTCTGAGAGGGTGGAGTAGTTTGCCATTCAAGTCTTGCTGAACATCAGCAACGTGGGGTTTGCAACTGTTTCATGAGCTCCCTGCCAATTGCAAAACCAGCCCACTGCCATCGAACATGACACTGCACTAACGAAAACAGTCGCAGCAGCAACCGCCTAGCAACCCATTTCTACTCTGTATCAAGCAACATGCCTCTGGTGATCTTAGCTGAGACCCCAGTGGACTGTGTTGGGGAAGTATGAGGAAATGCATACGGCACATGATGTCTATGGTATGTTTAGCACTAAATCTGCATTACATTCCCGGCCTCTCATATCCACAAATATTTAACCCCCATTACATTCACCAGGGTAAAAAAATAATTGCCCAGAAGATGGATGAAAACATCCAAAATGTATTTTTAAAAAGCAAGGTTGACCGACTCTAGCTACCCCGCCCTCCAGAAATTAAGGAGCTGGGAATCATCAAGAGACCCCCATTACTACTCGTTAAACAAGATGAGATTCTTGAGCATCTTTCAACTTCACAGCAATTTGCTGGGGATTGAAAAAATTAACAATGATGAAGTCAGACTTGTGGGGAAATGCACTGGTATGTATGTCAATAAACTGGCCTCAGGCTTGAGTCTTTGAACTAAAATCATTGTGTGGGTGTCTTTGACCACGACAGACTTGATTAATTTTTTTAAAAAAAGCTTGGAAACGGTCGCTTCCCTTTAACTCTTCCTTTTCGGTTCACTCTCAAACACTCCAGTGCAATGGAGGGCTGAAAAACACACCGAGGACTTGATTCTGGTCTCCCACTGGTGTAACTACACAGGCAGGATCAGAATCAGACCCTCCATTTCTAGTCTGGCCACGAGGTTTCAACCTTTCACTTGCAGGTGACAAGTTTACTGCAGTGGCTGAGTATTTATCAAGAACTGGAGCCAGGAGCATATCTAGCAGAAAGGAGGGGAGGGCAGACAATAGCAGAACATCTGGGAGGCAGCAACAGGAGGACACAAGAACATGTAAGGAGGGCTGGAGAGAGCCAGAGAAGCCGGAAGGAGAGATCCATGCCTGCAGATGCCCCTGGAAGGAAAATGAATAAAGGTAAGAAATAAGGTAAGAACATGAGGCCAGGCATGGTGGTAGCATCTGAGGAGCTGAGCAACAGGTAAGTTACCAATATCACTTACAGGCCTGTGAAAGGGTTAAATACTGTAGCCCGCAAAATGTTCACCAGCCTATCCAGAGTGCTGGATGGCAAGTCCTTATTTAGTAAGAGTGATGAAAGAAAGATTCAGCCAGAGACTAGAATATTTTTAAAAGCATAAATGTCCTTTGGGAACAGCCCACATGCCTCTGGCACGGCAAGCAACCATCACTCCCTGCAGCGGTGTCCATCAAAGCAGATGATTAAACCTACATCAATCATTTGGTGTAAACAGAGAGTCAGGGGACTAGGACATCATGTCATGAGCAATGGCAACACATCTCTCTGCTTTGCTTTAACACTCATCTGGCAGTAAGTATCCCAGCCACGCACCCCAGCCATGTTCTCTTAATGAGTTTGGGGCTGTGAATGCGTCACAGGTCTAGAGATTGCCTGTGTTGAATTAGAGGCCAATGATAGGGTCAAGCGGCCTGGCCCTAAAAATAAACACCCAGACTTAGATGGATTGATGCTCCCAGGTGGCTGTTCTCTGTTTAGCTGCTTTTTGTTTATCTGTAACCCAGTTGCTGATATCTGCAGACGGCTTCATCCAGGAGCAAGCTCAGCACACAAGCACGTGGACAGGTAGAAACGACCACATAAAAGAGCGAAGGAATACAGCCTCAGAGCACTGATCATGGCAGATCTGAGATAACAGCTCACTCCCACGTGGTTACCACAGAACAGGATGCTGTTAACACAGCCGTACCATGCACACAGTTTGACTGAACTGCCACGCTACCGCTGAGGAAAAAAGGCTTTATAAGTGATCTGGACTTCCTATGGGTGAAACTCCCGCTGATGCCTATACACTCACACAGGCCCAGGGAGAATTTCTTCCTGAAACAGGAAAGGGTCTTTAACACTTGGGCCCCAAGTGTCCCATCCCCTCTTCCAGACTCGCTCTCTTTGCCCGACCTGCCTTTGCCAATTCACCAGTCACCTGCTCTGGTCCCCATGCACCATCCTATCATTGATTGTACTCCAGCTGTGCAATGTCATGCTCAATATAACCTACTGGGGGTCAAATTCATAGATTCATAGACTCATAGACTTTAAGGTCAGAAGGGATCATTATGATCATCTAGTCTGACCTCCTGCACAACGCAGGCCACAGAATCTCACCCACCCAGTCCTGTTACAAACCCCTAACCTATGTCTGAGTTATTGAAGTCCTCAAATCGTGGTTTAAAGACCTCAAGGTGCAGAGAATCCTCCAGACTCAGCGTAAGCAGGGACAAGTGCCCTAAGATCAACGGGGCAGTGCCTGCACACACCAGCTCGGAGTTTAGCCTCGAGTGTTTTGTAAACCCCAGGCACTCCT